GAGGTATGATCTCCTTTCTGTGTGTATCTGTGGGCTTCTTTTAGGGCCTGGCTCAGTGCAGGGTCCCCTTGGGAGTGTTGCTGATAGAAGAGATTCTGTACATAGTTGAATGTTGGAGAATAACCACATCCAGGAAGTTTGATGAGATTTGCAGTGATTTGATTTGTTGTGATAAACGTTAAATCTCCCAGAGGACGTAATGTACAATATCTAAAAATGTAGGACTAGTTGAGGTGCACTTTAACTCAGGTTTAAATGTTTATTGTGTCTGATACTCAAGGCAGATTCATTCTAAGGGTGGAGACTGTTCTTCAGAATAAGGCAGATAATTCTGTGACATTTTCTAGTTCTTGCTCCAAGATTCCTAATAAATTGCAAAGGCAACATATCTTTTTTTCTTTTTCTATGTGGGTCTTTTATTCATTAAAGACAAGAAAAGTTGTGCAACAGAAAAATCACTCAAATAATGGTCAGAAGATATGAGATTTAGTCAAATGTCAGCTATCCATCTGCATGCTGCTCTTTAGAGTTCTTACTTTTTTTCCCTACTTTTCTCTCATATATGCATATATAGTTTTTCCTTATTATAAGAATATTACATGTTCATTTTAGAAATCTAGAATATGATGCAATAAGGAGAAAAATAAAAATTACTTACAACCCTACTTTTCAAAGATGAAATTTTAAACATTTTGAGGGTTATATCCTTCTAGTTTTCACATGTGTGTTTGTGTGGATATACCCGTGTACTTTAAACAGAAACACACACACATACACACACACAGGTACCGTTTTATCTACTTTTGTTCTCTTCATTTGCCAATTATCCCATCCCTATTCATAAAGAATTAATTCCTAAGCAATAAATATATTTTTTAGAATTTCTAACTTATTTTATAATATCCACATATTTCTAAAACTTTTTTCACTTTATTATAATAAGTGAAAAAAGTTTTAGAAATATGTGGATATTATTAAATAATATTTCAATCAGAATGGGATCGGGATATGCTGAGGGCAGTCTTTTTGGCATGGTGAATGAACTTACTATCTAGTTTGGGTGGGAAAACTGGAGGAGGCACCAGAAAACAGAAGGCCAGGGCTATGGTGTCCAGCAGTGCCACAAAGAAGGGTTTCTACAGATGATCTTGACCTTTCATGTGAGGAAGCTAAAGTCCAGAGAAGTCAGCTAGGAGGCTTTGTTGAAGCCGAGACTGTCATAAAGTAGGGTGACATCTCTGGTGGTAGTAATCTCTGCAGAGTACTCAGCTGCCTCAGAACATAGTCTGATAAACAAATCATGTTGCCAGCAGCTGCCAAACTAATGGCCAAGGGAGTCGGCAGAAGTGCACTGGGTCAGGTCAGGCTTGAAGGTGGCCACGTGAATATTGGAACCTGGAGTTTCGACTGGAGTCTTATTAGAAATGCCAGCTTTTGTGTCACTTGCCTGCTAACTGCCTCATGGTAAGCCCAAGGGCTCAAGCTATGAGCTAAATATTTTGGATTAACTTTGAGTTTCCCTTAACATTATCTTGAAATTTCTCATTGAGGAGAGGCTGTTGAGTATAAATTGCTAATGTGCTCTGCTGATTTCCATCAGCTGTGTGATTTGACTGACAACAGTGTGAACCTAGCCCGCTGGGGTCTGGTGAATTGCATCCGCTCTGCCAGAGTGTTTCTTGAGCTGGAATTGAAATGCACTGCCCTTTAGTTTCCAGTGTGATGCCAACACTCAGGCAATTGACTCTTGCTCTTCAGTCTCCAACAGGGGGAAAATTATGAAATAAAATGGGGATAGACCAGGCATTCTCCTTAAGATTCAAACCCAGAACTAGAAATAACTAATCATATGCAGTCTCTCTTGCCCACTAATTCTCTACTCAGCTGGGTCAATCTGTTTCACTCCTATCCTTAGCTTCCTAGCTTGGTGTTGGTGGGAAATGTCCTAGGTGCCTTTGCCTGTTGAATTGTGACTCAGGATTCTTTTCCAAAATGGGTTTAAAATCAGTTCAGGTTATATTGAATGTGTATGTGTATGTGTGTGGAGAGTCACCTGTATACAGCCCCCGCCCAAGAGGAAATAGAAATCACTTTGCCTGTTGGTATTTGAGAACCTCTTTCAGTTGACACTTCCTTGTTCCTGGCTTGTCAGTCTGAATGAAATGGAACCATCTTTCAAGTATCTGAGTTGAGTAGATATGTATGTTCAAGATTACCTCTGAAGTGTATGTTTTCGTACTGTAGATACTGTTTTTGATTGTGGTTTGTCTTTTTTACTATTTTCTCATCTAATTTGTTCACTCTTCATCTCTCCTCATTATGTCCTTTTTTTTTTCATACGTTTGTTTACTCATGAAGATGGCTGACAGTGTCCTTAAGGAAAAATCAACTGCTTTTAGTTGTTATTCTAAAAGCTGTCCTCTACAATACAGCTGAAGTGTTTCCTTCTTTCTTTCCCTCCCTCTTTCTCCCTGACCCATCCACTTTCTCCCTCTTTGTTTTCTCATTCCTTCCTTCCTTCCTCCCTCCCTCCCTCCCTCCTTCTCTCTTTCTCTCCCCCTACGCTCTCTCATGAATTCCTTTGGATCATTGGATGATTAAAACTTTCCATTGACTTCTTATCTCTATCTTGTCAGAATAAAAACCTTGCCGGGAAGAGTTCATATGTGATTTGGCACCTGTCTGGCTTTCTGACTTTGGCTGGAACATACTGCCCACGTCATTTTCTCTGTTGCAGTCATGGTGGCCTTTCAGTTTCCCAAGAGGCCCAACATGTGCATGCCAGGTATCTTTGTGTGCCTGTTGCCTCTCAGGAGACCCTTCTGTCAGAGGCCTGTGTGCTGCTCTCTCTTTCTAATTACATTTTCCTGTGAACATTTTATGTGAAGCAGTTTCCTCAGCTCCCAGTTACTCTCTCACTTGTTATTTATATTATTTTTTCACTGCACTTGTCTTTTTTGAAGATATTAACTTTTAATTGTTGTCTTCCCCAATCCATGAGAACAGAGGATTCGATTCCTCACTCCCTGGAGCTGGGCAGGGGATACAGCAGTTATCCATTTCTCCTAGGTGAATGCATGCCCCCAGAATCAACATTCCTCCTTCCAGCTTCTTTCCTTGGGAAGGTCCTTCAGTGATGCTTTCCTCAGTATGTGATGGAACTTGTGCTTTGGTTAATTTCCAACAAGATATAATTTTTTAAATCATTTTATTGCTCATGATAGGTGTGTTTTCTATAAGGTAACTTCCAATAAGGAATTGTGTTTTTTTAGGAGTGGCAGATAGATTTTTTTAAATTCATATATTTAAAAAATTTTCTTTAAATCCTAGAAAGCATGGGGAAAATGTTCTAATTATTTCTAGAACAGAAGCAGATAGTCTTGCTACATTTTTTGCCTAAGATCATGTGGGTTTATATAGATGAGGCAGAATTTGAAATATGAATTTGCTTTTTAATGCCTGGATGGGCACATGTATCTGGTTTGAAATTTCTAATATTTGTAAGAGTCATGGATAATTTGTTTTGCCCATAGCATGTATAGCAAAACCCATAAGTTAATCTGGTAAATTCCTCTAGCTTCCAACACAAGCAAGAAGGGGGGGAAAGTCCTCTGAATAGTTAGAGTCAGAATGTTGAAAATCCAAATGCAGATAAGTAGCTCCTTTTGCATTATTTGGGGATATTTATTTATATTTATATTTGAAGTACAGTTTTAGATAATTTGTTTCTCTCTCTCTCTCTCTTTTTTTTTTTTTTAAACCACAGTGAAGAAATCTCATAGAGCAGGTAGAGGAAAAATTCAGATGAGAGCAGTCTGAGTTGGGGCTGCATAATGAAGGGGTTAATAGTGTTTTCTTTTAAATATTCCTGAGGGTATCACCCTACCATAGCATGTAGTATGGATGATTCTTAGGTCATCAGTAATTAAATTTAGGGTTAATATTTTTTATTCAAGAAGAAAAAGTGGGAAAGTGGTGGGATGTGCATTTTTAAAAATACTTTAGTGCAAAATACTTTAGGATTTTTTTTTCATCAAAACCAAGCTCCACTCAAATATAACCTCTTGGAAGACAGGAGTTCTGTGTTTGTTCTCAGTTGTATGTTCATTGCCTGGCATGTGATAGATGGTCAGAAAATAATTATTGAATGAAAGAATGAATATAAGCCTTAATTATGCAACAGTGCTAAATAAAGAGGACAGTAAGACAATGCCACCTGTGTTAGTTAGCTTTTTGTCACTGTGACAAAATACCTGAGAAAATCAACTTAAAGGAGGAAAGATTTATTTTGGCTTGTGGTTTCAGTGTATGGCCACTTGCCAGTAATGAGGAAGTACATCATGGTTGAAGTTCATGACAGAGGAGAACTATTCTCATAGTTGCCAAGAAGTGAAAGAGAAAGAAAGAGAAAGAGAGGGGGTGGGGGGAGTGGTACAGGAAAGGTATGGGGACCTAATATTTCTTTTCAGGGCACAAGACCAGGGATCAAACTTCCTTCGACTAGGCCCTACCTCCTAAAGGTTCTATCATCTCCCAGTAGCACCAAGGAAGCTGATGAAGCCTTTAGCACATAGGTCTTGAGGGACATTAAGACCCAAACCTTAATAACACTACCTTTTATGCATGGGGATCCCCACCTCCCAACACACAGAATGAGTGAAGAAAAATCATAAAATCATTAAATGTTAAGATATTAAGGTAAAGTAGCTTCAGACATTTTCAGGGATACCTCATTTATGGTTGGAATGAGAGTCAGCAAATTTGAATAATTTGCTTGAAGTCACAAAAGAAGTTAGTGAAAAGAGAAAGAATGACAAGAGAAGTCTTCCTAATGGGTCCTTCCAGAATGCCCTCTGGTGATTTTATCTTTTAATCTGGTGTTTTGGGAACTGAAAGAACACAGAGTTCTTTTCATCTTTTAAAATCAATGACAGCTGTAGGGAGAATACTGAGTAGAACTTTTTGTCTTCCCCTTATGGTATGAAAATTTTAGACTGTACCTGCTGTGTCACCTTGGTACATAGCATCTCATGCACAGTGCCCGGGCTTGTTTGTAGACTAGTACTTGAATGCTTTCCAGGCCTTCTACAGAAGAAAAGAAAAATTTGGAAAGGAGAGGGTTGGAGAGGATGCTTGGTTAAGAGGGGAGAATAAGATTTTGTGATTAAGATGATTCAGGCCAGATGTCATAAAAATATGTTCATTATTTTTGCAGAGGTGAAGCAAACATAGAATATTTCTTCACTTATTGGTAATGGGTGGTGGTGAGGGGGGTGGAGAATTTAGAGAGTGTTATATTGTTTGCATATATTTTTGATGCGATTTTTTTGCTGTATGAATTAATTCAATTGCTATCTTCTATTTTCTGATACTTATTTCCTAGAGTCCAACATTTTTAGGGAATGCAATCACTTAGCAAAATAATACAAAACATAATTGTTTTGGCCCTTGTACATTTCAGATTTTTTTTGCAAGTGTATAATGTGTGTACAATATATATATATATATATATATATAAAATTATTATTATTAGCTAGTAGAGCAATTAATTTAAGTGTAAGTTTCAGTAGACCACAGGGGAAAAAATGCAGGATGTAAAATGTGGTTAGCTTTGTTTCCTGGGGATATTCTCAATCTCAAGGAAACAGAAACTAGTCTCCCCACCTCAACACACTTCTTGTGCTCTGCTACATTTCTTGACTGTTCTTGACTTGAACATTAATTATTTGTGCAATAATGTTGTAATAGAGCTGTATTTAAACTTATAAGTAATTTTTTACAAAGTACATAAATTAATTGAAAATATTGTGTTATAATTAAGTATCATAAAACTCATATTTTTTAAAAAAATGAACTCAGAATTTTATCAATTATAGTCAATAAATATTTCCCAAAACTTTCTTAGTCATCAGTGATAAAAATAATGAATAAAAACTCAGAAAGTCAATTGACATTGGCTTTTGTGGTTAAAAGAAAAGGCAAAGTTTCAAAGTTTTGTTTGTAGTTATTATAAATGAAACATAATTCTTACACCTTCTACATTGAAGCTATTTTAGAAGGTTTCAGACCAATATTTTGAAGTTCCTTTGAGTTTTTTGTCTTCAAAGAAAAATGTTTATATTTAGCAACTAATCTTTCCAAATTCATAGTGCTGTTTAATAAACAGAAGATATTTGAAATCTATAAAAGATTAAGATCTAGGTAAGATCTGATCAAGATTTAGGTAACTAGAATTTCATTATCTGAGGTACCCCTTTCTCTGAATAAATTCTGTATCATCTAAGCTTTTCAAAACCACAAAAGTTTATAAGGTAAAGGGTCAGATTTCTTCTTCTTTGGTTGGGCTGGGGATTGAACCAAGGTGGCTTTACCACTGAGCTGCAATCCCTGACCTTCTTTTTTTTTTGAGACAGGGTCTTAGTAAATTACCCAGGCTAATCTCAAACTTGCCAATGCTGGCTTCAAACTTGGGATTCTCATTCTCCTGAGTAACTGGCATTATAGGCGTGCGCCACTGTGCTGAGTTTTTGTAGCCTATTGTTTACTATGCAGTATCTTCTATGACAAAATAAATCACAAAATGTTATTGAAGTTGATTCTATAATTTCTTGCATGTAAAATCTGAAAAAGAGTTTGAAGTGCCATAGGAATGGCACCTGTTTTCCTAACCCAGTAGTAGGGTTAATAAAAAGGTAAGAAGACTGAAAAAAGCAGTATAGGACTAGTGCGATTAGTCTGACTAATGAACTTTTTAGTGTGATCCATTGATGACATTCTTTTTTCCTCAGGGCTGAATCAAAAAGTGTTTTTTTTTTTTTTATACCCACAGGACTCTTTTTAATACTAAGTCAGGCATTTCTTGTTAGTTGATATATAGGTACAAGTTTGTTTCTTTTCATACTATGCACACTGTACACTCAGTTCTCAACCTGTCTTATGTTTTTGTAAAGGGTGGGCATTTTCAGCATGGAATGTTCCTGGTTTTTATTTTTAAGGGTCATTTTTATTTTAGGCTTCTTGGAGTTACCCTAAATTATATATATGATAAACAAAGAAGGCAGAAACATATTTTAATGGCGATTAAAAATAGGATTCTATAGCTTTAAGCAAAAAAAATCCATGAATTTATCTAGAATGACAAAAGATATATTAATTTTGACTTTAAAATGAATTTGAAATGGAAAAAAAAGTTTACTCACATGAATTGTCATAATTTTTATAGTAATTCTATGGAAAGCAAATACAATAGAAACCATTCTGTTATGAATTAAAATATGATCATTTGTACTTAATGACTATACATTTATAATTAGCTGAGATGGGCTTCATTGATTTCTTGTAATCCTATGGGAAACCTCATGAAAATAAGGAAAAAGGGTCAAATTCATGACTGTAATTCCAGAGAATAGTTTAGAATTGGTAGAAAATGTAAGTAAATAATTTGGCCTTGGAAACAGCATATATTTTGTAAAATATTGGATCTTAAATAATAAATGACAATTGGAATGTGAGTGTGTTCCTCTAAGGCCCCTTCCTTTTTGGTGTATTTCATTTTGGAGGACTTCAAAATAAATTCTTGGTTAATGATTGTGATATTGTGTATTACATTAAAAGAAAAATTGCATATCAAAAAGCTATAATAATGTTTGAGACAAATTCTTCAGAAAGAGACTTTTGATTAGCTCACTATAAATGGATATTGACCTTATTTTCTCCTTTTATTTTTGTTCCTTTTACTTGTACTGTTTGAACTCTGATTGAGTGCCTGAAACCAGCTCAGCTTCTTTTGGCCAACCCTCCTGTCGAGCTCCCAGACTTCTGCCCTCTTTTGAGGCTGAGGAGTGGTCCTGGGCTGACCTCTTTCTCAGTCATCCACAGCTGTGGGTTCGCTCCTAAATGGATATAACTGACCTAAATTTAGGCGCCCTAGAGAGACTTAGTAGGAAACTTTTTTCCAAAGTACTTTGGATATAAAGAGTGTTTGTTTTCTTTCACTTTCTCTTTGTTTTATGATTTTGGTCACTTTTTTTTTCTTTATTAAAATTATCTCCTTTGTTAAGATCCCCATTCCCCAGCCCCTGCTTCCCATTGCTTGGGTTGTGCCCTTCTGCCACAGGATTCCCTAAGGAAATGAGTTGGAACTAGAAGAATATGCCCTTCCCTGAAGGTCTTCTGGTTGTGTATGTATTCTTCACAGTGCTGGTGCAGTGTCAAACCCTGGGGACAAAGGCAGGGTTTGACACTGTACCAGCACTGTGAATATGTTTTTTTAGCTTCTTGATCAGTCATACACCAATAGTCTATACATCCAGAATCTGAAGATTCATTATATTTCTAACTTTCCTCTGACTTTTCCTTGGTTCTTTCCTTTGTCTTTTGTTGTTAGTGAAGTGCTTTTCTCAGGGACCTCTGAAAAGCATTTTTGTTTGTTGTTCAATGTCCTGCTCAGGGTGTGTTTTCTTTATACTGAGGGTGATTGAAGGTAGGTGTCTGCTGTTTTCTCAGGATTTGACACATTCACTTTTTTCCATTGGGGTTATCATTGGTGAATAACTCTTCCATCCATTTCCTACCAACTCCTGGCCTAATTTTTTTTTTTAAAAAGATGTTTAAAGTAACCAAACAAAGATCAACAAAAATAGATGATTCATTTTCAGTTTATGGTCTAGGACTTTTGTGTTTCTTAAGAACAGGCTGATATGTCTCTAATATCATCTATTTCATTCATCTATGTCTGACAACTTTCAAAAGCATGCTGGAGGGCTGAGGTTGTGGCTCATTGGTAGAGCACTCCCTAGCATGCATGAGGCACTAGGTTCGATCCTCAGCACCACATAAAAATAAAATAAAGGTATTGTGTCCACCTACAACTAAAAAATATATTTTAAAAAAAGTGTGCTGGAGGGCTCTCTGTGTGTTTCTGTAGGAAGTGTTAGGTAAGATGTACGTGGTGAAAGTGCCTGTCTGGTGGGAAGCATCACAGGCAGAGCTAACCTTTTTCTCTGCTGTAGGGTGAACTTTAGGGAAAGAGAAGGACCTCTTTTATGCTTAGTTCATGGTGTGTTTTGATTGCTATTGGTCTATGTGAGCACTTGATCAGTATTTTTTTAATATGTCTGAACCCTGAGATACTAATTCAAGGAAAATTGTACAAAGCATCTGACACCATATTAATTGGAATAATAGAGAGTTTGCTTTGTTAAAACATATCTAGTTCAAACTACTAAGAAATCTTGGCTTTTCCATTTACAAATGGGCTGCTGGGTGGGAAGATGTTTTTGAGTTCACTTTGCTATCTTCCATTGTGCTGTGGACTTGCTGTCAGGGTTCATGATTATAGACTTATTGAGTAGGACTTTCTCTAATGGGGTCCTGCACCTTTTATTTTGTAATTTCATGTACTTTCCTCTATAGGATTTATATGTGGGTGGACCATGAGGCTTGTCCCCCCTCATGATGTGACAGTGTGCATGACTCAAAGTAGATGAAGGGGCGATTTTCCATGCCCATTTACAAGGTGAGGATGGCTGTGCCACTGATGTGTAAGGAACTGTTGCTATGTTGGATCTGCTTATATGCTTAGTTTATAAAAGGCACAGTGATGTAGCACATTGGTACCTCTAGGTTATATCCTGGGATTTTATTTTATGTGTGAAATGCCTCACATGTCTGGGTTTTTCAGTGTTGGGAATCAGAAAAGCATGGAACATCTTTATATCTTGCTAGGAACCCATGTCCCAAGGACTGCAAGGCTGGTTGAATTACTAATCTGAAAATGATCATCAAGCTCTATTTTTCCCTCCCACTGATCACACTTATAATAAGATGGGAACAAATGTGCTTACTCATGGCTGGCAAAAGAATCAAACTACTGAGAAGTTCTCATTTGTTTTCTTTAATTAATGGAGGTCAGAAAAGTCATCATGGAGACCAGAAGGATCATGCTGATTTCTACACAAGAGCCCAAATATGAGGGTTTTGTAAATTGAAGGTACCCAGGACTTCTTCCACAGATGAATGATAAATCCATATGCATGTATTCTTGTTTATGCTAAATTTCCATCCTGAACAGTAAGGCTGCTGGGAGAGAGAATATAGTGTAGGAAGATGGGAAGAGGAACTTGAGTAGGCTCTTCACAGAATTCAGGAACCATGACATGTGCTGCAGTCAGTTTGCTTGTGGCTTGTTGTTGAGAACTTCTGTACTTTTCAATTGGTGGTTATTACTTGCCTTTAAAAGATTAAAATATGTGGTAAAATCCTTCAGATACGTGATGGAGCTCAGATAGCAGCCTTGTCTCCAAATGGAAGGAGGCATGTGTGGAGCAACTATGTGTATGAAATTGATAAGAACAATTGGTCTCATTGTTGAAGTCACTCTGTCCACAATGAAAGTCCCCAGAGGACACTTTCTTATGAACACATATGAATATACCACAGTGAATCTTACCATCATGTACATCCACAGGACTAGGATCCTAATTAGAACAAGATATATGCTTATATAAATGTATCAAAATAGATTCTACTGTCTTGTATAACTAAAAGGAACTAAAAGGTATCAGTGAAAAAAAAAGAGAAAAAAAAAGGACAGTAAGGAGTTCAGTTGAGCTGGAAGAGTTACAGTAGTCTGTAGGAAACATGGGCCAGCAGATCTTGAGAAGTGGCAAATCTAGTTTTTGTTTCTAGGAAGAAGTGTCCCACCATTCACACTGACTACTTTTGTGACTATTAAACCCACAGAGCCCACTGTTTGTTGTTTTCTTCGAGTAGGTGTTCTATCAGCATCTCAAATTTCCTTAATTCCAAACTGAGCTCCTTTTCTTCCTTAAACCTGTCTCTTTTTCTAGATGTTAATATTGTAACATAGGGGCTAATTTTCAGCTACCTAGGCTCATATCCCTTATCGTATTCAGTTTCTTCCCACTTCTTTATGTAGTCACTTGTCTGGTCCTGTCATGGTCTTAACTTGGGTACTGTCATTAAAGATGTCTGCAAATCCTTGATCTTTGCATTTGCACTTTTAGATATTCCTTTAAACCAGGCTCTCTCTTGTCCTCTCCCATAGGGACTATTTTATTGCTCTCTAATTGTGGTATTTCTTAAGCTTCAACATGAAAGTCTACTTGAACACTGTTTATAAATATAAAAAATGGAACAAAACATCTTGCTTCTTTGATCTACAACCTCAACTTGCCAACAGATTATTATCAAAATACCCTACTTAACATAGGTAGAGTTGTCCTCTTTTGTGCTCTGGGATGCTGCTTAAAACCTCATTTTCAGGGCTGGGGCTGTAGCTCAGTGGTAGAGCCCTTGCCTCATAGGTATGAGGCCCTGGGTTTGAGTCTCAGCATCACATAAAAATAAATAAAAAAGTAAATAAAGATATCATGTCCATCTATAAAAAAATTAAAAAGCGAAAAACAAAAACCTCGTTTCCTGCCGCAGTCTGGCTAGGCACAAGATCACGAGCCACTCACAGCTTTGTAGATTCAAACAGCAATCCTTTATTCCCGAACTCACACCGGCCCTGTACAAACACGTTCTGGGGAAATCCAAGTTCTGCCCCCAAAATTCACGAACTCCACCAGGCTTTGAATCCTAAATACTTTCTGAATTCCACGAGAACTCAATGGGAACTCTGGCAGCCGGATACGCCCTATTCCCAGCAGGAATAACCTTAAACCTGGAACCTCCCTAAACCCAGATTGTCCTAAACCAGGAACGCCCTAAACCCAAGGAGCAGGATACTCCCTAAAACCTGCAAGATACACCCTAAACCTGGATCCACCCTGGTCCTTGAGCAGGGTCACCTTTCTCAAACATACATGCAATGTCACAGCGAATGTCCAAGGCAAGTCCATTTCCACGAGTCCTTCCTCTAAGCAACATGGGGTACGCTGGCAAGGAAATTTCGAGGTGTCATTCCTACTTGGCAATGGCCCTCAGCAGTTTCCAGCCAAACTGGATGACCCCTGTGCCTCTGCGATATTGCTCCCTCTCCTCAAGTAGTCTTTCTCTAGGCAGCCCTTTCTCTACTCATTTTCCTCCAAACCTTCTGCTTTCTTCAAGCTCCTTCTTAGATATTCTTTCTTTTTTGAAGTCTTCTTAAATTCTTTGAGTCAGAATCATCACTTGCTCCACTACAATCATATAGCACCTTACTTCTTTTCTACAAGAGTATTTATAACTTTCAGTATAAGCAGAGTAGTTTTAAGACATACTTACAAGACCGGATTTTCTATTTCATTGTACAGATAGATTGTGAACTCCTTGAGGCAACTAATAAATGTATTTAGAGGAGGAGCATTTTGTTTAGGTTTTGCCAATTGAGCCGATTTTTGTTTTCCTTGTAAGAATTAGAGGGCTGGTTTGTGCCTAAGTCAGAGCCAAATCGGAGACAATGTATTATGTGTTTTAATTAATAGGCTACAAAATATGGACACCGAGTTATGACAACTAAGTTCATTTTAATTTTGGATCATTCTTTCCCTGTGGTTTTCTTATACTTTAAATTGCAAAAGGTGAAGATGTGTCAATTTTTTGGCCCCACTCTTTTCTAACTTCCTTCATGGCTTTTACTTAGAAGGAAATGCTGTAATCATTTTGAACACTTTTCTCCTTACAAGGGAATGCAAATGGGTTCCTATCCACAGTGTATAATTCATGTTTATCTTATTTTAAATTTCTTAAAGGTTCTTAATTATCTGGCAGAAAGTTACTGATGAATACTTTTCTACAGGTTTCTTCCTTGCTTTAGAAACCTGAATACTGAAGGTCTATACACCTTGAATAATTGAGATTTGGCCTTTTTTGGGAGAGTGACAGCAAATTATGGTTGTAGTACTTGGGGGGATTTATTTTATGAGACCAAAAGTAGGGCAGAAAGAACCACCCAGTATTTGAGGCCTGGACTCAGTCATGGTTTTCTCTCACTATGAAGTGACTTCAGGAAAACCCTCTCATTCTTCTGAACCACAGCTGCCTCTTTTATGAAATTACTATTATTATTATTTTGCAGTGCTACTGATCCAACCCAGGATCTTGAATGTGCCAGGAATACATGTTACCACTGAACTACAGCCCAGTGCTATCAAATTAGTTGTAGTGAGGGTGAAATGAGCTGATATGTGCAAAAATTTAAAAGCTTGATAGCAATTATCTAGTACACATTCAATAAATGGCAGCTATTGTCATTGTAACATTCAAAGTACTAACAAAAATAATGATTATCTTAGAAGAGCCAGATCAAACTGATTGATTCTGTGCTTTTGTTTTTAAAATACTTGCAAGCATGGTTTCTTTATTATAATTAGCTAGATGATCTTATAGAAGGATTTGATCAGAGTAGAAATAATGATCCCTTAAGCATAAGTAATTTTATGAAGTTATCTAAAAAGGAAACTCTTTATTGATTATAGTCAACATTATTGCTAATTTTGGCAATATGTGAATGCAGTTTTTCACTAGTGTTAGTGGCTCATTGAAAAAAATACATGAAAATATTACCTTTTGCAAGTGTTGTTCTCAGAAAAATCAAATTGAAACAATAGAATTAAGTGGGTAGGGAACTCACATTTATGGAAGGGCAGCTCCAAACTTGTCTGGCTGAATGAGCAACTTTGATTTTGAGACATTTTTATTGACTGTGTTATATATAACATCCCTCAGGTGTTCATGTTGATGTGTGGTATCCTTTGTGAGGTCACAGTGACATTATCAACAAGACAGAAGCAATGATACTAAGCTAAGTTTAATCAGCTACAACACTCACATCTAATGGACCACCTGGCTGCTGTTGAGATGGGGTAGGCAAGTGCATTGTTTAGGTAAATAGAGCTAGTACTCTATTTTCTCTACTCAATGGATAGAGGATCCCAGTTATCCTGGAGATAGTATGCTGGCAGGGCTGTTAGTCCTTTGTTGTGTGATGGGCAACCATGTGAATGTTCATAGCAGTGTCTTAAATAGTGATGATGGCTATGACAAATGGTGTCTGCTAAATTGTGGTTTTTCCCTCAAAGCAGCTTAGGATATAAAGTTTTGCCTATGATTTACTGTATGATGAGTGAAATCCCTAGTCAGCATATACCAGGGTCTTGCACAATTTGGGAAAGAGAGAATGATTATGTAAAGAAGGTGTAGGAAAGAAGAAGTCTTGGGCAGCAGAGTATGAATGAGAACTATTGTCCTTGCAATACTCTTAATTAAAAGGCCATGTTAAAATTTCAGAGTTTGTTAGGAAGAATGAGATCAGAGGAAAAAAATAAAATTTTAATAATTAACAACTTTTATTTCTGTACATGATTTATAATCCAAAATGAATTTTCTGTGGAAGCATAGTTACCAACTATACTAGCATTCCTTAATCCAGGATAGTATGGTTAATAGATACATATCCAATATGAACAAGTCATTGTCATAATGTATGTTGAGATGTTATATGATTTTTAATGTTGTAAGTTAAAACTGCCTTTGGTATTAGAACATTCTTGAGTTATGAGATAGATAGCAGTGGAGTGTGAGGTGTGTTGTTCAGACAGGACTCATCTCCACCCATACAGGAATATGGATTGGTGGCTTCCTGTGAGAGGTGGGTGTGCTAGCTGCTTTTGTGAATGGAAGTCTTAGGCAGGTCAAATTACTCAATTCTAAATCAGATTATTTTTAGGTGACTACATGGTGTTGTTTTTTGTTTGGAAGAATAAAAGCAGATAAGAGGATTTGGGGTGGAATTTTTATTTCTATGAAATTATTATTTTGGTTTCTGAAAAAATTTAAAAATAATTTTAAATCCTCAACAAAACTTTAATTGATTCAGTCCAATAATGGAGAACAAGGAAGAAGGAAGAGCTAACACAATACATAACCTTGTTTAGAGGAATACTTAGAGTGAGTAGGTAACAGTGCTTGATCTGGAGGTGTCCCTTGAAATTGTGATGTCAGTCAGCCCTGGCTAATAGAACATCCCCCCACACACGTTTTTTTTTTTTTAAGTTACCCTAATGAAAGAAATTAGAAACAGGTTAAATTTATCAGTGTTTGAAAGGACGTGGCATTATATTATTGACTTTCTATCTGCAAAATGGACTCTTTCTAGTGATAGAAATATAATTTGTTGGCCTTTGGCACTAATGAGAACTGCTTTAAGAAGGAAAAATTCAAGAAGGGAGTTGTACCATAATTTGAATTAAACACTTGCCAGACAACCTGAAGTAGGCCTGAGGTTTATTGTCATGTTGAATGACCCAAGATTTCTCCAATTCTCCTCTTGGAGGGGATTAGCTTTTGTACAAAATTTGCAAGTACAGCATGCAGTTTTGTCAAATACACAATGACATTTCTTTTCATAGCTCTCTTGACTTCTTACTGTTTAAATATCCTCAGTTGTCTTTTAATATGTTTTCTTTGTTTAGTTCCTGTTGGATCTGAATGTAACTTTTACATAATCAATTCCCTTGTCCAGATTTTTTTGGTTATTAGTTTTGAATTGTATACAAGTTGGCATGTTAATACCTTCCATATTTTACATTTCCTTTTCTGGTTTTCCATATTCTACACAGTCTCTTTTTATTATTGGGATTGTTATGTGACAAAAATCTCAATTAACTCCTTTTTGTTTCTTTTTTTTTTTTTTCTCTCTCCTTTGTAGGTTAAGAAATGGCATTTCAAAAGGCCGTGAAAGGGACTGTTCTTGTTGGAGGGGGTGCACTTGCTACCATCTTAGGACTTTCTCAGTTCAGTCATTACAGAAGGAAACAAGTAAGTAACTGCATGTATTGATGATATGCAACCTGAAGCTGCTGAGAAACTCTATATGGGACATGTGCACATTAACTTTTTAAGGAAATACTGTTGAAATTTCTAGTTTGATTTGAAAGCTACTAATTGTGAATGCTGCCTTAATGGTCCTTGAGAACTGTGTGTATTTCTCTCTCTTTTATAATGTGGATTTCCTTTTCAAGGAGCATTGTTTATTTAGCCTCTGTTTTGGCTTTTTGTGTTTTAAAAGACTGCTTCATTCAAGAGTGCCAGGGTTTGTTCATTTAGACTTTCCTTGTCTAACTCATCAAAATGTCTGGATACCTTCTATGTCCCTGCCAAAAGTTTGTCTTATTAGAAGGCAGGGGGCTGAGAAAGGAAGTAGAAAAGAAAGGGCCCGATTTTTGAATCCTGCTTTTATTTCTTAAAGGTTTAGTCCTTTTGTAGTATTTACCTTATATTAGGTAAAGAATTTAATGGAGGAGGAAAGCCATGACAATAAGATTGGTCTGAAATTTCCAAATAATTTAATGTTCAGGTTTTTTTTCCCACTTTTTTTTTTTTTCCCTTTGCACTGCCTTCCTGTAATTCTAAAGGATGCCAGAGGACAGTTTTGTTGAGAGTTTTTTTTTTATCTTTTCAGGCTTGAAATGCTGGTAGCTACCTCCCAGGGTTACCTTTAGTTTCCCATTTCCATTGCCCCATGTCATTAGGGCACTTTGTGTTACAGATTGGGTGTTACATTCCTGTTTCAAAAATGCAGGTGAAGGAATGTGGTAAACTGTTTGTAATTGGATGATCTAGAAGCTACTGTTTTCTACATTTTTATGAGTGCCTTTAAGCTAGGGATTATCTTATTTGTTCTTTCTTTTTTGTGTGTGCTACAAGGTGGTGGAACCACATGCTTAGAAGTCCATATCCTGAATGGGAACTTTAAAAACACATTAGGAAGAATCAACATCAAGTTTATAGTTAAAAAAATACAAGTTTGAGAGCTGGGGCTGTAGCTCAGTTGTAGAGTGCTTGCCTCACACTGTGAGGCACTGGGTTTGATCTTCAGCAACACATAAAAGTTAATAAAGATATTGTGTCCATCTACAACTAAAAAATATTAAAAAAAAAATACAAGTTTTGTATTTAGGTGCTTCCTTCTAGAGATGGATGGTATTGAAGAGGTCGTTCATCTTTCTTTTTCATTCTGAACTATGACCACAGTACCCTTAGGTTTCCCTAGGTGTTTATATTGCAAGTATGATTAACTTGCAGTTGGATTTCTTCCTCATTTATTGATCATGTTTGATGATTTTTTTCTTTTTAAATATTGCCTTGGCTTTTTAAAAGTAAGTGAAAAGATGTTTATTCTGCTGAGGCTATTTCAGAAGTTTGGAACATGGGCATTAGGGATTACATTACTTCTGCCATCTTTATCCATGTTATCTGAAATGATACTGGAAAATGCCAGTGCCAAAGGTCACGATATCTAATAGTTGTTGCTAAATTTGTATGTGGTGTCTGTCTTTAAACCATAGTAAGCATGTTCTACTACAGAGTCATGATTTAACTTTGTACCTTAGTGGTACTGTTCTATTTTTTGTTTGATTTCTTTTTAATAATTGACTCTACAGAAGAATAAACAGAAGATATCACCTTCCAACAACCAAGTTGGGGTGATTTTAAAGGCAAAATAAGGGCCTACTGATTCCTAGAACATTTTTGTCATTTTATCCTTCCTAAGTTAGACATCCTGACTACCCTAGTAGCCAAATGAAATAGATACCAGCAGCTTCAAGTCATTTAGAAGTTTAAGCTGTCAAATTCTGTTGAAAAAAAAAATACTACAGGCATATTCAATCAATGACTTGTGTAAGAATTTAATAGTATGCATTTATTTTATGGTGATTCCTGCCCCTTAAAGACACTACCATCAGTATATATTTTGGTGTTATCCAGTTGCATGTAGCATAGAGATTGGTTAAAAAAAAAAAAGGAAGAAAGAATTCAAACAAACAAACAAACAAAAATTTAGCCAGTGACATAAAATAACTACAGGCTTCCCTCAATTCAGCTGTCTTCTTTCAGAAAGGATCTGCCAATCAGAGTCATTCTAGAGGAGAAATTTTCCTGACTTCAGTAGTTCAGAAAATCTGTCCCTTAAAATATATTAATTGGTTACATTTTTGTTTTTGCAAACTGGGTCCCTAAATGTGACTAGATATTTTTCATTTTTATACAGTGATATATATAGTTTTTGGATTTTCTAATTTATTTTCCTTCTTTCTCTTCCCTCTCTCTCTTTGATTTTCCTGCACTAGGGATTGAATTTAGAGTCTCTCTACCACTAGGCTACATCCCCAACCATTTTTATATTTTATTTTGACACAGGTTTCACTAAGTTTTCCAAGCTAGCCTCACATTTGTGATCCTTCTGCCTCAGTCTCCAGAGTAGCTGGGATTACAGGTATATGCCACTATGCCTAGCATGTTTTTCTAATTTTCTAAAATGGTTCCAACTGATAAGCTTCCCTCTTTTTCAAGTATGCATTGGTGTTAAAATTCCAGGATACTGATGTCCTAGAAAACTATCCATAGACTTCAAGTTCCTGAACACTTTTCTGCATTCCTGGGTTCTGTCTCCTTGGCTCCTGGCTTTTGTGTGATTGGTATTCCTATACAAGGCTTCCTTCTTAAAATGTAAGCAGGAAAAAAAAAAGAAATGCAAGCAGGGGTTCCATTCCAAATATTAATAGGTAGATTCTAAAAATTAGTACATTGTTAAAACATGTTTGGTGATAAGACAGTGTTTAGGCAGCAGTCCAGCTCACAAAACAACCTTTTTAGTCAATTCTTCAGTTGTAGCTTTTATTTTAGGGGAAAGAAAAATGGAAGTTTTCTGTTTTTTTTTTTTTTTGTTGTTGTTGTTGTTGTTTGGTACTAAATCTAGTGTCTTGAGCATGTTAGGCAAACTG